AAACCGAGTCAGAAAAAAACAGAATATCTCTTTCATTCTGTTCTCCCTAGCATAAAACAATCTATTATTAAACTTATTTATGCAAGGTTATTTGCCATTGGATAATTATAGTGGATGCCAGGAAAACACCCTTGATACTAGAATGTGAGAAATGGCCTGTAAGTACTTGATCATGTGTTCATCCAATCTCTCATTTAACAGATAAGGAAATTGAGGCCCATGAAATAGTGATCTATCTTCTGTGGAGCTAAGACCACACAAGATTTCTTTGCCCACTGCTCTTTCCACTATATAGTTATGGTACACTAGGGTACACCCATGGATAAATCACTGGGCTTTATGGACCACAGTAATTAATTTAGCAAATGTTTCTGTACCTACCATATCATAAGCCTTAGGCTTAGCACAGCCAGAAGAATACTCCTACTGTTTTTGAGTAGCATATAATCTACCGTCACTTTGAAATCTTTCTTTCTAATTCTCTGAAGAGTCTTGAGTCAAGTTAGAAAGCCCAAGTGAATCACTTAGGGTTGATTTTCTAATAAGTCAATATCTAGTCTTCTTAAAATGTACATTGAGTTGGGAATAGTTGGTAGTTGGTATCTCAAGTCTTTCTAGACCTTCTCTCTCTCTGTAAATAAGAACCAAACAAAAGAAACTGTAGAATTTTCTTAAAGGGAATATATTATTCCAGGGTACTTGATTCCTGTAAAAATGGAAATAATGTCACATGGCCTTTTCTTAGGGAATTAAATACCTAGAGATGTGGATAAAGTTTGAAGTGCATAGAAACCAGGCCATCTCTAGGGCATGATGTTTCACATTTGAATGAGATGGGGGAAAATGTTATGCATCTCGATCATCACCTTTGTGTAGAGGCATAATGATACAGTGAAATTATAGAACTGGATTAAAGACTTAACTTCATAATATTCCTATTTGGAGATAAACTTGGACCATTCTTGTCTTTAGTTCCCCATCAACAAATGGGGCCAATCATCTCCGCTCACCCCTGCAGGTCACAGAAAATGTTTCTGACTTCCATCACCAAAGAGTAATGTTACTTGCTCTTGAATTTTATAAACACAGAATCTTAGAGTATATGCTCTCTTGTGTCTTAGTATTTTCACTCATCATTATGTCTGTGAGATTTATCCATGTAGTTCAATGTTTTACTGCTGTGTACTAGTGCATTACATGACTACATTGCATTTATTCATTCTCAGAAAATTTCTGTTCTTTAAAACACTATAAAAAGCAAGCTCTGTTATCTCCAATCTTCACTTTTCTCCTGAGGTACACCTTCGTGTATTTAAGTGCCAATGGCCTCTTTCCTCGACTATTAAAATAGATTTTGATTCCTTTCCCTCCTAGCAACATATTCTGTACACAACTACCAGGTTGATCTTCATGAAATCTCACTTTCATTATGTCATTCTAGTTTTTCTTTTTTCTACATGATAAAACTCAAACCTCATGGTTTAGAAATTTAAAAATCTTGTAAATCTCACACCGTTTGTCTAGATAGATTGCTCACTGCACAATATCTCTATCCTCCCACCACACACACACACACACACACAATCTCTCCACCAAATTAAAGTCTATTTCCTATTTTCACTCCTCCCATAACATTCTGTCCGCCTGAAATGCAACACTCTTTATTCTTCAGATTGTCCCATCTCTCCAAGCCAATCTCCTGCTGCACCTATGCAGTGAGAACTTCCATCACTTCCCTTCCTCTAGCTCCATTCCCTAGGCATTTATTTACATCTCCCCCAACATCTACATATCTACACATACACATACACTCAGGAAAGCAACAGCTATTTCCTAATACAGGGTCTTAAATTCAATATTCTTATCTGCAAAACAGGAATAATACATAGTTTTGGGGGTGGTTGTGAGGAGGAAATGAGATTATGTATATAAAGAATGTGACACATTTTAGGCATTTAGTTGGTACTCAGTAGCGATAGTCTTTCCCACTATCACCTTATTCAGTTATTTTGGCAAGATAATAGGCTTCAGAGTCATCTTCAGGTGATTTTCTCCAGCGTAGTAGTCAAAGCAAATTAAGTAATTTATATTCCTTGGTGTTTTCCCAGAGGAAATGATTACATACATCCACCAAAAGACAAGCACAAAAACATTTATAACAAGTTTACTTAAAATAGCAAAAAAAAAAGAAAAAAGAAAAAACAAAAAAAAAGCACCCCAAATATCCATCAGGAGCAGAATGAATAAATGTCATGTAGTCATGTAATAGAATGGGGCACAGCAATAAAACATGCAACTACATGACTAAATCTCAGAGACATAATGATTAGTGGAAGAATCAAGATACAAGAGTGTATACTCCAAGATCCTATATTTACAAAGTTCAAGAACAAGTAACATTAGTCTTTGGTTATGGAAGTCAGAATATAGTTATCTCTGGGGACTGGAGGGTTTTAACTGAGAAAGTTCAGGAACATGCTTCCTGGGGTGCTGGAAATAAAGTGAGTAATGGTTACATTGATGCATATATAGGCAAAGATTCATCAAACTATATACCTGTGGCCATTCTTAATGCATATTCTGCCTCTTTAAAATTTTTTACATGGCTTCAGACTTTACAGGAGAAGAAAGCACAAGCAAGTTTTCTTTTTCAAGTTGTCTTCTTATCTGCCTTCACCTCTTTCCTCTCTCTTTTACAGATTTTGGAAATTTTAACTTTCTTTCCATTGAAATTAGCAATGTTCAACCCCTCTCTCCATTTACCCACTCCCTTGTGTTATTTTAACATTTCAGTGTGTTATCACTTGGGACAAGTTCAGTGGGTCTCTGTCTCTAGACATCACAAAAGTAAATAACTCAGCAGTTGGGTAGCAATATATTAGGCTTTCAGTGGCTCACTTGGATACTTTATTCTATACAGAGAGCTTAGGACCCTGTGGGACCACCATTCTCTGGCATGTTTTGTAGCTTAGGCAAACAGATACTTGCAGTATGCAGAAGGAAGTTCAAAGTTGTATAAGATACAGAGAAGAAAACATAGGTGAAAGTGATAGATGTGTGAGTCTGAGGGGATGAATAAAGAAAATTTCTAAATTTCTAAAATTTCTAAATTTTCTTCATTCATTCAGAACTTACAGCTACTTGATGCAATTTAGCTAATCTCCATGTGTACTTCTTAAACATTCATTAAATCTCTGCATACTTTTTTTCTAGTTCTTTACAAAATAATCTCTGATGTTGCTTTCCATTTAAGGAAACTAAATTGAAAGACTCCTCTCCCTTTCTGACTATATATTTATCTTCTTCATACTTCCCCCACCACACGACATAGCATGGATCTCCCAAGTTCCTTCCACAGCTCCAGTCCCCAGCTCTTCCCTTGAATTGGATTTCTCTTCAACTATTACTCTCTTTCCCATGCTCTTGCCAAAATCTAGTTTAGTACACTAGTTAGTGGGACATATTTCAGTTTTGTACCCTCATGAGGACATCAAAAATACATACTTCACACTTCAATGTAAAGTTAATATTTTCTTCCCTTCTCATTTCCTCCCTTTTCCCTGCACCTCCCTCTCTTTTTTCCTCCCTCCCTCTCTCTCAATTCACAGGCCCAGTAACAGCACCTGCTTCACAGAAACAAGGCTGGTCCTGTTCTGATTTCTCTAGTCTTCCTTTAAAAACTAAACGGAGATGCACAGTCCCTCTTCCTGACACACACAGAAGTGAAAGAAGACACAGAGGGAAAACACCACAGGCAAAACAATTCCCTTTTTTGGAAGGACATTTTTAAAACTTAATCTCTCCCCAGAAACCTGAAGTTCTCCTCTTTGCCTTTGTCCTTACAGACCTGGTGTGGGGACAGAATGTTTCCTGATTTAGCTGTCCTGGCCTCTAAATCTCTTTCACTCTCTAGCCATCTTACTGGGTTCTTGCTCTCTTTTACCTCTCTCCCCTCTTGGATCTCGTGTGTGTGTGTGTGTGTGTGTGTGTGTGTGTGTGTGTGTTTGTGTGTTTGTGTGTGTGTGTGTGTGTGTCTGTGTGTACTATTTCTCACTTGGGGGCTCATTTCTAATTAAGTAATCCAAGAGGCTAAAAAATGCACAAAACAACCAAATAAAACCTCAAATTAGATGGGAAATGGCTCAGATGGGTCCCAATCTCTGGGAGTTCTAGTTAAGCAAGCAAACAAAATGGGCTGGGACAAATGATTATTGTAACTCAGGAAGATTAGAAGAAAATGTAATTAGCTCCCCAGCTACTTCTTGTTCTCCAGCATTCTTAGAGTGTCGAACACCCTACCCGTGAATGCACCCAAGGCTTCCTTATCCACACCAAAAAGTCCCCACTGCAACGCTGGGAGGGTTAACAGAGCTGGTACCCCAGCCTGCCAGCTCACCAAAGGAGACAGCGGTGAAGCTCAGAGCCCGCCCCCTGCCAAGCCGCCCAGCCAATGGGCACCTGTGGGGAGTGTGGCGCTGTGTCCCATTGGCTGCCAACCTACGTGCATAAGAAAGAAAGAGAGAGGCAGGCAGGGCAGCATTGTTATCTTAAGACACTCATCTGGTGTCTGAGTCTGCAGGTGACACTGCTTAGGTACAGAGCGTGGAGTCGGAGCGGGGACGCGCCGGGCTGCAGCTCTGAGATGCAATCCGCCTGCCTCACAAGCTGTTCGCCGCTGCGCTGGCAGCGCCTACGCTGAGCTCGGAGGATCTCGTTAGGACTTGCCCAGGGATGTGCACCTGCCGTGCGCTCCGAGGTCAGGGGCAGGTCTGCAGGCAGCCAAGGGAGCGGTGAAGCCGGAAGACCTGTCTCTGCCCATGTGCAAGTCTGTGATTTCGGGTGAGAGAGCTGGTGGGTGAGTCTCTTTAGAGTTGGAAAGAAGGCAAAATCTTGGGTTTCTCCTCAGCGGAGGGACAGGGGGACTCCCCCAGTTGGGTCTTGCACTTTCCTTACCCCTCCCACCCCGCGTGCGCCCCGGTCCAGTGCCCAAGCCCCACTTCAAAGATGCTCTGGGAGACCAGGATCCTGGCTGCTCAGCGGGAAGGCAGCAGGCAAGTGGTCTAACGTTGGCGGCGGTGGCAGCGGCGGCGGCACCGACAGTAAAGCGGGGAGCAAGAGAATTTGAAAAGAGACATCCGCTCCCTCTCACACGCTGAGGGGGAGGCATTCGCGTTTCCCCAAATGAGAAAGAGCCACAAGAAATCATGAAGTAAAAACTTTGGAAAGCTGCCACTGGAGATGTTGCACAAAAACCTGGAATCTTTTAGGAGTCTCCTCCCTGTCGTTGAAGGTTTGGGGAGCAGCTGATACAGCAAGGAGGGCTCTTGCAAGGATTCAAGGTAACAGTGCAGGGTTTCGGTGATTTTTCTCCCCTTTTTCATTGTCCTTTTTGGTGTGTCCATTGGTAAAGGGACCATTTGGCTCTCATACAACCCTCTTGCCCTAGTGCCTGGCAGTTGCAGGCAGAGGGAATGATGACACCTCTCTTAGTTGCTGTCTTGTGGAGCTGAGCAATGGACTTTGGGGTTGAGCGAGAGATCGCTCTGGTATTGCCTCCTGGTGTTGCATGGCTGTCACAGGGTTTGGGCACCCTGCCTGACCTATATTGCTTTTGCCTGGTTTAAGTCCTCAAAGTTAGTGCAACTCCTATTAGCTTCAGAAAATGCAATAGGGCTGCATAATTGCAGAAGATGACGAGGACTTTCGCCTGCCCAGCTGACGCTGAGAGGTTCATTATGTTTGGGAAGGACCCCAAAGAGCGGAGGTTATAATGCACGATATCTATATAATCGTGCTCATAGAGCCCTATGGCATGTTTCCCATGCGCATGCAGTCAGGAAAATAAAATTCCAAACAGTGAACCCTGTAGGTTGCAAATAGTCTCCCCAGAGTGGTGGCAGAAGCCCCATTGATTGAGTTGAGCCTGGCAGAGCACTGGAGACACTAGGGAAGAACACTGATGTGCTGAAAGGTGGGATGTGCTGGTATCATCTAGCAGATCTCTCTCTCTGTTTCTGTGATCATCTGGGTACACTGTCGAATGCTGCCTGTGGTGTGTGTGTATGTGTGCTTGTGCTCACAGCTGTATGCAGGAACCAGGCTGCCCATAGAAGAACCAAGCATGTGCAGCACCCTGCCCAAACCACGGATGCCTGGAGTGTTCCTGCCTAGTAGGAACATGAACTTGTGAGCTGTTTTTCCAGCCCAGAGGACTTTTCTCCTCGCCAAGCAGTCCCTCTGCATGGTACATATTTATCCAGGGTATATAGACCTAAGCCAAATATTAACTAATATTCAAGCAAATGCACTGTAACGTGATTGAACAGACCCCTCTGTAAAGAACTGTGTGTGTGCTCTTTGCAGCCCTGGGAGCAGGGTGCTAGGAGCAGAAACAAATGTTTTGTTAGAAGGATAACAATTATAAAAGTCCAAGCTTATAGTTAGGTAATCTGGGCCTTATTCAGCAGGGACAGTGTTATGTCAGCATAGACCAATCAGAGGGATAAAAGGTAGAGTGTAAGTCAAGTATTTCTGCCTCTGTCCTTCTCCAGACATGTGCATGTTGAAGTGACTCTCTCTGACCATGCTAGCTGAAATACATGCAATGCCAGTATTAACCAAGCAACTAAAGTATTTTACCAAATCCCCTGGGGGGCAGTCTGATGACATCAGACAACAGCAAAGTGATGCTGGAGTTTGTGTGCTTTCCCTCCTGACTCACACAGTTGTGTGTATGTTATTTGTTTAAGGCATGACCCCCTGGAGTCCTCCTTCACCCAGAATAAGTTGTTTTGCAGCACTGAGGGCATGACCAAGAAATGCTGCTACAATGATCCTGTCTTATCAATATCAGAGCTGCTGCCTACTCTAGGAAAAGATGCATGCCTTGCTTTTTTGAGAAGGATATGATTTGAAAAGGCACAGAGCATGTATATTGTGAAATGTTTGCGAGAAAGGAAGCAAATGTCACACCATAGTCTCCCCTTCTGGAGGTCAGCTGGCTCCAAAGTGTTTGACAGCTGGGCTGCAGCCATGGAGAAGACAAAGCATTCTTGACTCTTACTTCCCCTCTTCACCAAAAATGGAGCTGGCTTTGTCTCCTAGAATGGAGTGATGTGTGCTGCAGTGTGGGCACAAGAAAGGAGGTGAGGAAAAAAGGGCTGGGGAAGGAGGAAGGTTCCTGCTCTGTCAGCATGGGGCTGGTCTCGAAGATGGGGAGCATCTTCTCTTTTTGGCCCTCAAAATTATCTTCTAGGTGCTCCTTTCTGGCCTCCTGACAGGTTGTTTACTGAGCAAGGCCAAAGGGCAAAGAACAACCCTGCGTCATCACCTTCTCCTGATCCCCTTTCCCAAGACACAGGCTAGCCACTGGGGAGTATCGCAGAAAAATGATACACTCCTTTGAGGCACTGCTCTGAAATCCCTCCCCAACTCACAAACAAGAGGTAATCTGGAGGGACTTGAGACATCTGCGTGGGCACTTTCTGCTGACTGGGATGCTTAGTTGAGGTTTCCTGGTTAGTGTTTTGTTTTCCCCACTGCGCAGTGTATTTTTGGCGATTTGACTCTTTCTGTTAAATAATAAGACCTTGTATACATTTTATGATGGCATCCTCTTCCGAAGGGCTGAGAGCACTTTACAGAGCTCATTTAATTAATCCTCACACAGCTTATTGTCTCATTCATCTTTGATTACCCTAAGAAGTAAAGCTAAAATGATTTCAACCCCCTTCTTGGAAAAGAGAGGGCAGAGAACCTCAGAAAGAGGAACTGCTTTATGCAGGGTCACGCAGCACTTAAGGGACACTACGGAATGGGATCTGAGTCTCATCACTCTTGAACCAACCCCAGACTCCATGGGCTTCTTCTAAGGAATAGTTTGATTTTAGTAATTATAATCTGAATTAGTTGTTCTGTACTTTATAAGGATGGAGATTTACAATGACACAGGGTTTCTCCTCTGGGACTAACTTAAAAGCCGTGAAGAATAAAAGTCTTATAGGCCTTTGCCCTTGCCTTCAGTGATCTTGCAGTCTAGTTAGGAAACTAGGCTCACATCTGACAAAAGGGAAATGACAACATAGGTTCTAAACAGCAATTCAGTACCAGAGAATTCACAAGGCCGAACTAGTTCATCTGTGATTGATATGTACAGATAGTGAGAACTATCAGTATTCAAAGGAAGGAGAATTTGAGTTGAGCCATGAAGGATGGGGTGGGATTTGTTTGGATAGAAAGAATGAGGGAAAGGGTTCTAACTGACAGAAATAATAACTGCAGCACTGTTGGGAAGGTTGGAAACTTCGAGGCTTGCTTGATTCCTTGGGCCACCTCTTTTCTTGCATTCTGGAAATACTATACACCTGGTTAAATTATTATTATTATTATTATTTGAGATGGAGTCTCGTTCTGTCACCCAGGCTGGAGTACAGTGGCGCGATCTCGGCTCACTGCAAGCTCCACCTCTCAGCTTCACGCCATTCTCCTGCCTCAGCCTCCCGAGTGGCTGGGACTACAGGCGCCCACCACCATGCCCAGCTGATTTTTTGTATTTTTAGCAGAGACGAGGTTTCACCGTGTTAGCCAGGATGATCTCGATCTCCTGACCTCATGATCTGCCCACCTTGGACTCCCAAAGTGCTGGGATTACAGGCGTGATGGTTAAATTATTTTAAACATATATTGGTCTACAGGAAGTTGCCCTAGAACCTAGGCAGGGTGCTCTGGAATGCTGGGCATCTAATTAGACGTTGAAAATTGCCTGGCCTTCCACCCATCCTCAAGTCTAATCTATATATTGTGGGAAAAGTATTGCTCAACCTCAGAGAGCTTATCAATATCATATCAAAAAATCTGAATGAGGATATTGTGGACAAGCAAGCAAATTTTAAGAGAACACACACACAAAATTCTCATATTTTAGAATCAGAATCTCCTAAGAGAGAGCCTTGATTTTCCTCCATTTCCTATTTCTCCACCCAAATGTTCCTCCTGGGGTTTTCTTAGAGCTGGCAAAATGCCAAACCCCTTAGGCATTTAGCACTGAGAGGAGATTTTCAATCTTAAGATTCTTGAGCATGCCCATGCACATAACCTCTTGTCTCCCCTTCTCTCTCCCTTTTAATGAAACATACGCTGTAGCAGTCACTAAGGAGGAGACCACAGAAAAGCAGGGAGGGGTGGGATGCAGTGTTGCCTGAAGCTGTACCACAGGGTACTGTGCTTGCTCAGCTGGGCAGGACGGGGAGAGGCAGCCTGCCAGCCTGGGCAATGCCAAGGAAGGGCCCACCAGGAGAGAGCTGTGACCAGCCAGCCACACACATTTGCTCCCACAGTGGGCATCTCTCCCAGAGGAAAGGTCAAGGCAAAGCACAGGGCCTGCGAGAGGACTGGTAACACAATCACGCTGGTCATGGTCTTCACAAGGTTTGGGACGTTTTTCAGGCTGCAGGTCACTGATGGCTTGGGTGGCCCCATTCCAATATAGAAGAAGTTCCCACTGAGCATGAAAGTGGAAAGGATTACCTAAAGTCACTCCATAATTGCTCCCAGGTCAAAAGTAAAACTCCCAAGAACCCAGTCTGTTTGGTTGCTTAGCCCTAGGAGTTTATTCAGGGAACAGGTCTCAAAGGACATTACTTTCCCTTGAAAATCCTTCCCTGAACCTTGCTGTCACCCTTGTTTCCTGTGTTAAATGACTGTGCAGCTGGACTGTGGGCATGATGCCTTTTCTCTTTACTATTCAGAAGCATCCACTGCTATATTTGGGGGCTGAGTAGAGATCCGGGCCCAAGGGCATGTGGTTAAGAGTTGTGAATTAAAGTCTCTTCTATCTAGAAAGGAAGAGACAGACAGCTGAATTATGCTTCAAACTGGGGGCTACGGTAAACCAGTCTCGTCTGACCAATTAGGATGCAGGTCAGCCCCTCTTTAAATTGTCACTCTGTCATGGAGAGAGAAGTAAAGTTGAGTAGCATTAACACAGCATGGAATCATCAACAGCCAGTCCCATTATTCCTCTTACTGAGGCTCACATGAAATGCAAACATTTCTGGAATTCTGGATTGGGCAAAGGGAGAAGACAATTTGGTACCTTACAGGACTAAGCTCTAGGCACTTGCCAATATGATAGCATATTGGCAACATGTGGGTCTTGAGCACTTGAAATGTATGCTGTAAATATAAAATAGGCATTGGGTTTGGAATACTTGATTTGAAAAGAAAAGCAATGTAAAATATCTCATCAATATTTTTAATCTTCATTACATGTTAAAAAGATAATATTCTGAATATATTGAGTTAAATCAAATATATTAACATTAGTTTTACCCATTTCTTT